CAAATCGATGAACAATGGGAGGACAGTGCAGTGCTATAAAAAATTCGCAACTAAGACCATTTGCCATTTTTATTTTAAATGGAGGTCTTTATTCAAAAAGACATTGTGACCCATGGCTGTGATCCCACACTTCCATATTCACTTGACTAGTTGGTGATTACTGGGCTCTTGAGCAACAAGAACCCTACACTACCCTCCATGTACTGAAGCTTGGTGTGCTGAAGCTTTGTCAGAAGTTGTAACTTTCAGCAGTTTTTCTTTTAAATTGAATTACCATGAGATACACATTTCTTTCTGTTTATTTAGGTTAGGAGCTATACCTGTGCTGAGGGGCTGGTTCTGACTTGGTGCTCAGGGATCCTAACAGTGCTTGGGGGACTGTGCCATGCCAGAGATGGAATCTTGGCTTCTTGGATGCAAAGCGTATGCTCCAGTTCGCTGAACTGCCTCTCAAATGCCATCCTTTAAAACAATTGTTTTCAAGTACCAGTCTCATGACCCAGTGCTACTCTGCACACGTAGAAAGATTGGAAACCATGGGTCTACCACCCCTATTATTAGTATTGCCAGTCTACGGATCATTATGCAATTTTGGTACTGGTCAGCAATGAGAAAGGGCTAAAAAATGCCATTTGAAATCAAACAGCATTGAGCGAGACGTTTTTGAAGGGCTCAGATGTCTATGAATCTAATCAGAGAAATAAAGATCACTTGACATCGGTTTTAGTGCATGGGTTGTTCAAGCTTCCACCCTGTAAGAGTTTCCATTTCCCACTGAGGAATATGGATAAATTTGCAGCTAATAAGAAATATGCAGAGTAAAAGTATATCCAAACATGAGATACACAGTTACAAAGTTGTTCATGATTGGGTTTTAGTCATACAGTGTTCCAGCTCCTGTCCCTTCACCAGTGTACATTTCCTGCCACCAATGTCCCCAGTTCAGCTGTGTTTTTAAGGGAGAGGAAGTCCATGGCAGAGAGTGCCCTAAGAGAAAGGATTGTAGGTTATGCTAGATTTACCAGGGTCTGTTGGCAGCTGAGTGGGACAGTGTAGAGTTGTTTTGGGTTGCAGGTTACTACAGCCCTTTGGAGAACAGCTGTGAGTGGGCCTGGAGCCTGATGGACACACACAGATCATTTTACTGTGGTATGGTTCAGGACGTGTTCTTTAAAAAAATAAATCAATATAGCCAGAAATACACATTGTGTGAACTGGGCCTTTCAGTTGTCACTGTGCTGCGTGATGTAAATATGCACATGTGCCTTTACAGACGGCCATCAAAATACCCTGTGCCTGGAGAAGGAAAGCGGGGACAGCCCTGAGGGCCTGGGAAGCATGTCCTAAGTGTGCATCCAGGTGTGAGCAGGTGCGCTGAGCTGGGCAGGATCCAGGTTACAGGAGGAGACTGCCTTGCACGCGTATAAAGTCTGGGCGATAGCGTGGGAGGAGAGAGTGGACAGAGACCACATCACAGGCTGGTGAGGGGAAGAGAGGGAGAACGTGGTTTATGCTGGAAAGGGGCTGGGAGATAGGACTTCTGCCTCCCCATCTGTCTTGCTCCTCAGTGTTGCCTTGATGAGCCCAGGAATCACCTCTATGATGTTAAGTCAACTTTGTTGTTTCTGGAAATGAATATTGAGCTTTTACATATCTGAAAATGGCAATATTGATGCTTGTTATTTTCTGAAGAGCCGTGAGCAATCTATGGCAGCTCAGAGACTGGTCTTCTAGTCCGAGCCATCGTTGGTGGAAGTCTGCAGCGTCTCTACTTCTTTACCTGGATATTTCCTTCGCTCTGTCATTTTGTGAAGCTATGCCATGCCTGCTTCTTTTCTGTAAGGAAGCAGTACCTTAGTAGAGAATTACTGTGAGCAATAAATGAATGAATGCTGTGAAAAAAAGTGCAGATAGGGTCCAGGGAGCTGGAAAGGAGTGGCCTTGCAAGTGTTAGTCGCTGGCATTGGTCCTTTGCACCATGGTGCCACAAATACAGAATGCAAATACAAATCATGGTACAGATACATGACTTTCAACAAGGAAAAAAGAATATATTTTATGTACTAGAGAATATGACCTATATGCCACACCTACATCAAATTTTAACTACTGACATAAGTGGTGGTAGTTTGTGAACTCATTGAAAGTTCATTTGCTGTGTTTCCCCCATATTTTACTGGGTTGGGATTTTGACACCTGACAGTACTTGGGAGCTACTCCCCTCCATGGTTCGGGGAGTCCATGCACTGCCAGGGATTCCAGACCCATAGCTCCCACGTGCAAAGTGTGTGTTGCCCTTTGGGCCATCTCCCTTTTTATTGCCCCCTCCCCATTTTAAAATTACTTCTTTACTTTAAGAGAATCTTATATGGGGTTGGAGTGATAATACGGTGAGAAGGGCATGTGCCTTGAACGTGGCTGACCCAGGCTTGATCCCCGGCCCCTGTATGGTCTCCCAAGTACGACCAGAAGTAAGTCCTGATTGCAAAGCCAGGAGTAACCCTTGAGCATTGCTGGGAGTGATCCCTCAAAAGAAGCCAAAAAAAAAAAAGAACAAATATTATATATGTATGTGATAGAGAAAAATTAGAAAACACTGGGAGACAGAGCAAAAGTCTGGAGTGGTATCTGCTTTGCTTGTGAGAGCCTCAGGTTCCATACCTGGTACTTTGTGGTTCGTCACTGCTTGGTGTGACTCCTACATCCCTCCAGGAGTTGCTCTGAATACAGCTGAGAGTGGTCCATGACCAAAAAAAAACAAACAAACAAAAATGGCAGGGGTTGGTAGTATGGACTGTATACAAGTAGAAAGAAAAATAAAAGCATGAGATAAAGTGTGTAATTAAAAAATAATAAAATATTAATATTATACATTTAAATGTGTTAAAATAATATATGCAGAGTAAACTTCATTGAGGTATTTTTTCCCTTTTTCTAGGCTGTTTTTACCTATTGCTCTAAGGTATGATCCTTTTAAAAATAGAATTCCCAAAATAAATTAAGATTTTTACATTTCGTTTTGTCAAAAATCTGTATTGAGTATTTTGGCACATTATATAGCATATTTAAATCAATATAAAACTTATTTAATACTTAATTCTATTCTTTTTTTTAAGCATGTGGATGGGAGGCCATCTTAAATATTGTTTGAGGGGAGGGGCAAGGGACTCTGCCTGGTTATTTTTAGCCGGCCCAATAGGGTCGTTCAATGATAGGGGATATGTTGGTGCCCAGATTCTGAGGGACCAGGGTCCATCAGGGCCCTCCCCTCTGATGTTCACCAGATGGCACAGACTATGGTCAGGCTCAAATGAGCAAAACATGTGTCTTAACCTCTTCGGTCTAATATAGTTTCTTAAGCCCCTCTATGAGGTATATAACTTAAAAATTTTGCTTTAAAACTTATTTTTATGATTATTATTATAAAATTTTATTTACATGCTATTTTATAGTTCTATATTTTATATGCTTGTATGCCCAGTGTCACATAAAAATTTCTCAGATAGAAAAGGGTTGCAAATAGAAAAATGTTTAAGTTCTCTTTTCTAAAGTACCTTAATTGATTGAAGCTGTCACTTATTGACCTATGATTAAATTTCCATTATAAATTTTGTCGCGGCCGCGCGACATCTTATTATCTCATTCCTACTTTGGACAAACTTGCAGGCTGTCGAATGTAGCCTGCCCACAGGGCAGAGTCTGGCAAACTCCCCGTGGCCTACCAAATATGCCAAATACCAGTAACAATGATGGGTCTCATTCTCCTAAAGAGCCCTGAATATACTCTCAGGGCTAGGATGAAAGAGACGTTACTGGGGCCTGCTCGAGGCAATCGACGATTAACAGGATGATGAAATGAAATGAAATGAAAATAAATTTTGTTGTATTGAAAATTTTAAAACTTTCCATAGTGCACTCTCATGGAGTTATTTCTAGAAATGAAATTTGCATGTCTGATAATTCAGATCAGAGAATCCCCAAAAAACAGCTCAGCAGAATTTAAGGCTTTTCATATCTTTCTTATCTTTTTTCTTCTTATCTCTTTGAGAATTGTCTAGCTAGAGTACACTGGAGAAAGGGAAGTGGGCATATAAAAATAAGGATATGTGTATGTATATACATATACATATGCATATTTATATTAAAATAAAATACCTATTAGGATTAGGGTTAATGTTAGTAGCATCCCTTGAAAATTCTGGGGAGACAGGTGTTTCTAAAAGCATGTGCTCCACTGGTTCGACTCATTCTCAGGTGTTTAAAAGTCTCTTTAAGGTGAATTTGAAATTCAGAGCAAAGGAAGTTCAGAGTAAGGTGAAACATAGAAAGGAAAAGGTTGTGTGCTAAGTCACTGTTGTTGGGTCACTTCTGCATTAGCCTGTGTCTGCTGGCCTGGTGGCCAATCCAGAAACCGTCGTGTGGGCCCAGCATTTTCCCAGGGATGGATCCCGAGAGAAGGAACGGTTTTATGCCTCAGCGAGGCAGACCTTATTGAAGTTCACTAACTTAATGGTGATCTTTAACACTCTAGATGATTCAGAAAAGGCTGGTGCAAGCAAATGTTGGCATACCTACCTCACTCTGATCTGCAGAAGATTACTAATGACAGGTTTTGACTGTCTCTTGTCAGGAAAACGACCTTTTAAAAATTCTTCCTGGGATGAAGTACAGCTGGTAAAGCCTTGTATGCGGCAGAGCTGGGATGGACCTCTGGCACCCCAAATAGTCCTCAAGCCCACCAGTTGTGTGCCCTGAATACCACCACCGGGTGTGGTTCAAAAATTTTTTAAAAAATGCATTATTTGTTTTTCTTATTTGTCCATTTTATTTTATACTTATTTTGAACAGGTATGCAACTCAGAAGTCATTTCTGCAGAGATAAATGCTTGTAAGATGAATTTATGTAAAGAACTGGGGAGCTTTTTGTATTAACAAGTCATTGTATCATCCTCAGCTGGAGCTGCTACTTTAATCAGTTCTTGGTATTGTTATCTTTTAAGGAGGAAGATAAAAGCTCGAGCTCCCCCTCCTCCTGGGAAAGCAACACCCCCAAATGTGCACAGTGAACAGAAAGCTCCCCGGGACATGTCTCCGGGCCCCAGCCCCCTGCTCTCCGTGAAGGACCAGCACCAGTGCAGCATGGTGGATGTCACCGTGGTTCTGCCCAGTGGGCTGGAGAAGAGGAGCATGGTCAGTGGCAGGTAAGACCCCCATGCTGCAGGGAGCAGTCTACAGGCCATCAGACCCCAGCCCAGTAAGGACAGGGAGTGGATCTCTTGTGTCACCGGACCCAGAGGCCATGGGGCTATAAGTCTGAGGGCATGCCTAGGTCACAGCTTGATGTCTTCCTCTTGGATTGGCTTTGCGTACTGGTTCTCACAGACCTCTTGATGCTTAGGAAAAACCAGAATTGTAAGGTCCACTTAGAGGAAGCAGGTTCACAGACCCATGACAACTGCAGAAGATGAGTCCCCCAGGATGCAGTGGTCAGTGCTCACCTACACACTGACCTGGAAGGGTGTGAATGCCATCAGTAGCCAGCTCTCCAAAGGAGAGGACTCAAGTTTAGATTAAGAAATAAAATCCCATCACTGCACTGGACACTTACTGGAACCAGTATCCAGTCTTATTCCCACCTTATTCAGGTGGATCTGATGAGTGAGTAACACACCACTGGTGGTTGCCTTCTGTTCCTCTGTCACTCACAGCAGGCATGGTTGGATGGAGCAGGCCTTGCCAGGCCAGTCCCTCTATGCGTGGAAAGACTCACTGTCAGCAACATTTTGATATGAAATACAGTATTTCATATGCCACCACCATGCAGTTATATGGGCACATACTTGAGTCACAGTATATAAGTTACATTACTAATATAATTTTTTAATTTCATTTTTGATATTTAACATAAGTATGTTGTTTTATCCACTTTTTTGTTATTATTGTTACTGTGTTTGATGGATTCTATATGCCAAACACCGTTACAATAAGTCTCACAATGGAGACATTACTGGGCCCGCTCGAGCAAATCGATGAACAACGGGAGGACAGTGCAGTGCAGTGTTACTGGTAACTCAGTTTGTATTTAGCAAGACACCAGAAACAAAAAATAAATGATATAAAAGGTTTAGTTCTTTTTAAAAGTTGATGTATAAGTGACCTATAACATTGTATTAGTTACAGTTATACAAAAGAACAATTCATGTTGTATATATTGTGAAATGATCACAGCAGTCACTGTCACTGTTCTCCCGTTGTTCATCGATTTGCTCCGTGGGCCCAGTAACGTCTCCATTGTGAGACTTGTTACTGTGTTTGGCATATCAGATACATCACAGGTAGCTTGCCAGGCTTTGCTGTGCGGGTGAGATACTCTCGGTAGCCTGCTGGGTTCTCCGAGAGGGGCGGAGGAATCGAACTCGGGTCTGCAGTGCCGGCTGTCTGCAAGGCAAATGCCCTACCCGCAGTGCTATCGCTCCAGCTCACAGCAGTAATTATTGCTAATCGTCACTCTTAGGATGAGATTTTCAATAGATTTCAATAGATTTCCCTAATCCCTCTTGGATTAGGGAAATAGTTCAATCTAGGGAGTACATGCCTCACTGTGTAGGGGGCGCTGAGTTCTGGGTGGGGTAAAACTCTCAGTCCCAGGGCACTGTGGGAAGCACCACTAGGGCAATCATTATTTGTCCATTATATGCCTCTGGACTGGAGCGATAGCACAGCGGGTAGGGCGTTCGCCTTACAAGCGGCCAACATGGCCGACCCGAGTTCGATTCCTCTGCCCCTCTCGGAGAGCCTGGCAAGCTGCCGAGAGTATCCGATATGCCAGACACAGTAACAACAAAGTCTCCAATGGAGACGTTACTGGGCCCGCTCGAGCAAATCGACGATCAACGGGAGGGCCTTATATGCCTCTGGAAACTAATCTCCGTTCCTCTCACTCTCTCTCTCTCCCCCTGCCCTCTCGTCTCTCATCTCTCATCTCTCGGCTCTTTCCAGCCCTCTCTCTAACTCACTGCACAATGCTGCTCTCTCCAACATGCTCTCTCCACAGCTCTCTCCGCCTCTTCCCTCTCTCTGTCTCAACACTCTCCTACCACTCTCCCTCACTCTGCCTGTCTCTGTCTGTCTCTCTTTGTCTGTAGCCTGTCTCTGCCTGTCTCTCTCTGTCTGTAGCTCTATCCTGTATCCTGTAGCAACTCTGTCTGTAGCTCTGTCCTCTCCCATTGGCGACTCTGTGCCTTGCTTTGCCTGCAGCGCCAACTGTGCCTCTCTCTAGCTCTCTACTTTCCTCACTCCTCTCTCAACTCCCACAGTCCCCACCACACCTCCCAAGCCACGCCCCCCCTTCCCAGGAAGCAGAGACAACATGTTTTTCAAGCCTTCCTGACCACCTGCAGCCCACAAGGGCAAAATAGCACTTAAAGTGTTTTTCTCCTCTCCTTATACCTGCAACTTAATTAACATCTTAATTCTGCTTCCTAATATTGCCATTCTGCAGGGACACAGTAATAGACACAATTAGGCTTGTAGGACAACTCTCCTGGGAACATCTTGCCACAGACTCAGACTACAGTACTCAGGCCATATTAGTCATTCCTAACCCTAGCAGGGTCCGAATCTATTTATTACTTTTTGGATCATGATACAATTTGTTCGTGATCATGCTCTTAACTTATAGTTAAGCATTATGGCACTTTGACCAGGCCCATTTCGATGCCAGGGTAGCTCACTGCTTTCCCTGGGTCCATCCAATCCCTCATTGGGACACTGCTTTTGGGGATCTAGAAAGTAAGAGCAACTGAGGCTTGCTTAAGTCAAGAGAGCAGATGTCCAAGAGGTAATATTATCTGGAGGCAATTAACTCCCAAGTTTCAAACTTATCTTTTTAACTGTCTTCCTGTGTCCATACAAAAAGTAATTACTCTGAAGTCACTAACCGTGCAAAGGACATTAAAGAGAAGAAAAAGACCATATTTACAAGTAGGCAGAGTCTGATCAGGAGGCAAAGGTAATTGACAGGTTGGAGTAGCAATCAACAAACCCAAGCTCCCTGTGGCCAGGAAAGAAGGGCAAACCCATGTTATCCTACAGAAATCACTTTATGTGGATCTATGAATTTGATTTCAGTGTTTATTTTTATTACCCATACAAGTGAGATCATACAATATTTGTCTTTGGCTTATTTCACTTAATATAATGCCTATAATATGATAACCATCTCTATTGGCAAAATTCCCCTCTTAAAACTGTGATCCCCTTGGATCACTTTACCTTTACGATCATCCAATGACAGTCATGTTATTTTCCCTCTCATATTTTCTCTACCGTAAACACTACTGTAATCAACATGAGGGCACACGTATCTTTTGGAGTTGGTTGTGTTTTTGTTTTCTTTACATAAATAACCAGAAGTGGATTTCTGGATCATACCATAGTAGTATTTTTAATATTGTGAGGTTCTTCCATACTTTTCTATTATAATTTCAACAATATATACCTCTCCTTGTTGTCAACTAGGGTTTCATTTTTTCCATAACTTCTCCCATACTTATTTCTTGCTGTTTTGATAAAAGCCCTTATAATGCGTGCGAATGACACTTTATTGGGGTTTGGATATGCACTTCCCTCATGATTATTGAGGCTGAACACTTTTCATGTATGTATGGGATAGTTGTATGCTATTTTTTAGAAAAATATTCATATCTGCCTGTTGAGGGAAGGGGATATATTTGCCTTCCAAGCAAAGAGCCTGAGGGCCACAAGAGTTACCCTAGTGGCATTGAGGTGGCCATAAGGTACTGGGACTGAGCTTGAGCCATGACATGTGAAAAACAGGTGCTCCTTTGAGTTGTCTGCTTGGCCATGCCCGATTTTTAATTAGATAAAATGTTTCTCTCGTAAAAAGTCATTTCCTCTGTAGGCAGTCTGCTTCAAGATTTGTACCATAAAGGTGTCCTCAGTGATGTGATACCACTGGCAAAGGCAACAAAATAAAATAATAAAGAAATGGGACTGTATAAAATTTAAGAACTTCTGCATGGCAATAGAAACACAGGCTAAAACTAAAAGATAGCTGAATTGGGGAAATATTTGCAGTTAGTGCATCAGATAAATCTTTGTTATCCAGGATGTATAAAGTACTCACAAAGATCGACAACAAAACAAAAACCAAAAAATGGGGAGAGGAAATGAATAGACACTTCTAAGAGGTGTCTAAGAGGAAGAATGGTAAACGGCCACTAGGCACATGCAAAAATGCTCAGCATCACTTATCATCAGAGAAATCCAAATCAAGATGACAGTGAGATACCATCTGACACCAGTGAGAAAAGAACATATCAGAAATTATAGGAACAATATGTGTTGGCAGGATGTGGTGAAAAAGTAACCCTCATCCACTGCTGGTAGAAATGTTTTCTGGTACAATCCCAGTAGGAAACAGTATGGAAAGTTCTCAGTAAACTTAGAATTAAACTGCCATCTGACCCAACAGTTCCACTTTGAGTTATCTATCTATCCCTAGGACATAAAAACGCTCTCCCAAAAGGACAAATGCACATCATTATTCATTGATGCATTCAGTACAATAGCTAAGATATGGAATCAACCTAGGTGTCCAAAGAAATATTAATGGATTATGAAAATATGGTATATAAACAAAATGGAATACTATGCAGCTGCAAGGAATGATAAAATCATGAAGTTTGCTGTAACATGGTTGGAACTGGAAGATGAGTGAATTCACTGTCACTGTCCTCCCATTGTTCATTGATTTTCTTGAGCAGACCCAGTAACATTGTGAGACTTGTTACTGTGTTTAGCATGAGTACATTATGAATAACTTGCCAGGCTTTGCCGTGTGGGTGAGATATTCTCGGTAGCTTGCCAGGCTTTCCTAGAGGGGCGAAGGAATCAAACTTGGATTGACTGTGTCGGCCACATGCAAGGAAAATGCCTTACCTGCTGTGCTATGAAATAAGCCTGAAAAAGAAAGACACAAAATGATCCCACTTACCTGTGGTATATAGAATACTAGATGAGAAAGTATTTTGTTGCAAAGCGGAGGGTTGTGCCTAGATCACCCTTGACTCCAGCATTAAGGGAGATCATCATAGAGAAGGAAAGGAATCAAGTTGGGGTCAGGGGAGAAAACAAGAAGTAATGGGTTAACAGAGGTCAAGGCTTCAGTTGTACTAGTGATATGGGTGAATGATATAGCCATATATCCAAAACACAGACTCAACCACACTGTAGACATGAGATCTAAGCTGCAACCACTGAAATTTTTTAGTGTGCCTATCGAGTTGACAGGCAGAGATGAACAGGGATCAGAGATGGCAATGGAATATGGGAACATTGGTGGAGGGAACACTGGTGGTGGGATTGGTGTTGAAATATTATTCACCTGAAGCTTATCACAGGTCTTTAAATAAAAGCAATTTGAAAAAGTCATTTGCCTCAAGTATTTAAAATAATGAATAGTAGTGGAACTCATCCAGGTACACTGAAAAGAGCTGTATAACATTTAACATCAAAATGCCAGTATTCAAATTCTAACTGAAATTACATTCTTTGTTGCCATTTAAATTTTATAATGAAAATTATGGGTGGGGATTTAATTGACTGATGTTCATAGAGTTTGAAAAAAATTATGGGAAATGTGGACAAATCAGATGTCTTCATTCTCATATGACCAGTGAATTCCCTTTCTTTTTTTAAAAGCCTCCTTTTCATTTATAAACATAAAAGTCCCTGTCCTCACAAGGATTAAAAAAATTGGTGTTCAGGACCATTCCTCGCAAAATAATTCGACCATAGTTTTAGAGTTGATGTCCCCAGGGCTGCCACTTAGTTACTTGAAGGTTATTGATTGGTGTGCAAATAGAGAATGTCTTTGAAGAGACAAGGCCCTTAACCAAAAATTAATTTATTCATTTTAATGAAATAAAATTATTTCATTAAGCCTTATCATTAAATTTATTTTTGTTTAAAAAAACAGGATTTTCTTTGTAATATTGGGGAGTGAACATAGCCTCGTACATCCTAGGCATGAGCTCAACCACTGAACCTCCCCTGACCTTCAGCTATTTTTTATGGGTACAGAAATAATCTTCAAGTGGTCCATATATCCAAAGAGTCCACAACTGAAAAAGACAAGCATTTCCTTTGCAGAATATGTAATTCAAAATCCTGCAATTTTGCTTTTTGTGCTGTGAGACCCTTTACAGTAGACTACAAACACAGGTGTTTGTAAAATAGTGCAGATAGAGTTTATGTTCCACATTTTGGAGCGAGCTCACCAACTTCAAAACAAAAAAGAGTTCACTTTGTTTATGTGAATTCACATTTCTCAAGCCTATTCTGTCCTTTAGTCATTCTGCACTCAAGGTGTTGACTTTCTCTCATGGAAGGCAGCGAGGTAGGGCAGCAGCTTCTAGGACCTTGACACTCCCCTATTGAACCCAGGACCCCAGGGTCTGTACGATTCAACTTCTCCAGTGCTAAGTGAGAACTGAAGTTGGGAAAACCAGTTTGAATGCAGCCAGAATAAAGGTCATCATACAGTCACTTAGAGAAGGGAGGGAGGAACAACAATTAGTTAGAGAAGGGAGGGAGAGACAACACTCAGCGGAGGAAGGGAGGAACCGAGAGGCCCCTTTAACACCTGACCCACATCTGCTTATCCTGCCCTACCATCAGCATCCCTGCTGAAGGGAATGGTAAGCACCATCATTTGAAGGTCATATTTGACCATGGTCATTTCACACGTGCTATCCATGTGGATTTGGACAAATAACATATTTCCACCTTAATAAATTATTTTTCACTGTGCAACAAAAAGAGAAAATTTTCAGTCACAATCTATATGACTAACGTATTGCTCTGGGCTCATATGATGCCTCTTAGGAAGTAAATTTACTAAGTTTCCTCTTAAATTTTCTTGACTCCTGGCCTATGCTCACAACTACTTTCAGCTCTCATTATCCATGAAGCCTCAGCTCCAAGTGTGGCCCCACTGAGGCTTAGACTTTCACATATGACTCTGGGGATTACAATTCCACCCATAACAGTGTTCATGCAGGTGACTCCTCTGATGTTTAGGGTTGTATGCGGTGTTTCCGCTACCTGATGCTCTATTCCCTTACTCCTTATCCAACATCCTGGGAGTATACAACTACCATGATTCTGTTGCTTAAAAGATCTGGGAAGAGTTATTTCCTGATGTCTCAAAGATGAAAAAGAATTCTGGAGGTTGCTGAGAGCAGGATGATATTAAGTTACATGGGCCAAGTTGCCCTGTTCTAATCTGGGCAGAAATTTCTTAGATCCTACAAGAAATGGAAGTTTTCCCCCAGCTAATATGATTTTGATTATTTTGGTTGCTCTTTTAGTAAGTTGACTTATAAGTGATGAATGTTAAGATACTGCAACTACACATTCATGTGTAGGGAATTAAATTGCATTCATGTGTAAGAAATTAATAATTTTATATGTAAGGAATTATTTTTTTTTCTTCAGCAGCACAACCAATTTGTTCATTCTTTCCCTGCTGCCCAAGCTAGACAGACAGAGAAGTATAGACATTTCTAACAATTCTGTTTTATTTGCTTTTTCCTCAGCCAAGCAATGATGGATCTACTGGTTGAACTTTGCCTGCAGAATCACCTGAATCCATCCCACCATGCCCTTGAGATCCGGTCCTCAGATACCCAACAACCTTTGAGTTTTAAGCCAAATACTTTAGTTGGGACTCTGGACGTGCACACCATATTTCTAAGAGAAAAAGTTCCTGAAGAGAAAGTGAAGACTGCTCCATCTAGAGTACCCGAGGTCAGTCGAGTTGGACTCTTCCATCCTCTCTGGATTTCCACAGCTACCTGTAGCCAAGGTGCTAATGTGATGCGGAGAGGCTGCTGGACTCTTACACCCGAGTAACTCAGGAGACAGTTAAGGATCAGGTTTCTGCATCTACTAAGCAAAATTAGATTCTACACTGAGTTGATACTAGGAGATAAAAGTTTTCAGAACTGAATTATGTTAATTTTTATACTATCACTCTGTTGTGTTATAATAAATTTATCTAGAGCAGAGCTATTCTGTTCAAAGTTTTGTGTAGAGGTGACAATGGACAGGGATTCTGCAGTTGAGGCTGATAGCCACTGGCCACGTACAATTGTTGAGCATGTGAGATACAGCTACTATGATTGAAAAATGAAACTTTAGATTGCAACCACTTTTTGTTTAAATTACTCTATGTAATCAGTGGCCCCCCTATTGAACTAGGCTCAAGGTACCGGTTCAGTGCTTGAGATCATTCTATCCCAGGAAACAGAATATGTGAACATCTTCCCAAAGAGACAAAAAATGTGGGGAGAAGATATATTTGGGGGGGATTAATGTTAGAAACTCACTGAAGTTGGAGAATATCTTATCATTTCCAGTTTTATTTCATATACTTATTGATGAGTTAAAATTCTAGCTGCTTTTTATGCTTGTAAACAAAACTTGACTATGGATCTTTTTACTCAAAGTAAACAAATACAAACACAGTACTCCTGTTGTTCATCGATTTGCTCGAGCGGGCCCAGTAACGTCTCCACTTTGAGACTTGTTGTTGCTGTGTTTGGCATATCGAATACATCATGGGTAGTTTTGCAGGCTTTGCCACGCAGGCAAGATATTCTCAGTAGCTTGCCGGGCTGGAATTGAACCTGGGTCGGCCGGACTGGCTGTGCGCAAGGCAAACGCCCTACCACTGTGCTATCGCTCCAAAAGCAGCGCTATTTTATTCCTTCAATTCTTTGGGATATCTTCTAAACTTTTATGTTTTTAAAGATGATCATATGTTCAAGAATACATTTCTGTGGATATCTAGTTTTGGGTTTTTAGTTGATAATTGGTGTCATGTATCATCTTTCTCCTAATTTTCTATTGTAAAATCGATGTTCCAGAGAGACCAAAGTTCTTACATGCTATAGATTCCCTTATTTTTCTGACTCTCCACAGAACCCCAAGGTGTGTGGGAGAGTTCAGTGGTAATACCTGACCCTGAGTGAGAAGAATAGAAAGATCCTCGGACCGTATATTTATCCCTCAGATGTATATTTCCTAAACTCAGGAACTTAGACTGCACAGTCTGCCTCAGTGGATCTTTCTTCCACTAATGTTTACTGTATCCTTTCTCCAAGATCTTAGAATAATATGGCCCATCAGAGAAGGCCTTACAAAATCTGAAAGCATGACACCTACGTTGGCAATGTAGGTATTGTTGATGTGGTTTTTTATCTACATTTATTTAAAGTAAGCCCTAGACAAATTCATTGTTTTCCTTTCTGATTATTATATCTGTTACTGCTTATCATATTTATATATCTATTTTCTAGCTTAGCATCCCCATATATTAACTATACATGTGCATATATATATATTTTTTAAAGATAATATATATTTATGTATTTTGACCTCTTAAAAATTTGATGTGTACTTCACAGATGTAGTTTGTAAACTGACCTTTTCAAAATATTTCCAAACTATTATCCTTTAGAAAAAAAATGTTTAAGTGTCCTATGGCCAATTCTAGTTGAAATCCTTGAAAACTAGTGTTTGTATTGAATTTTAAATGGCAATCCCTGTTTGAGGTCATTTCCCCTATACTGATAACAACATATTCTTTAGCAAAAGTTATTATATGGTAAAGTTATTATTCTATGTACTTATAATTTACCACGATCAAAACATACATTTATACAGGTTTAGGTGACGCAGCCTGTGATACCACTTGAGCTCAATTTATTGGGGTTATTCTCTACGGGGTCTGATGCTGACTAAAACATAATTAGTCAGTATGTATTCAGTGTCATTTACAAAATCTCACTGACAAAAGTAAAGCTACATAAAATCTTCCCATACACGAATCAAGTCTGAAAAAGGTAATTGAGCACATTTCTCTCTGAAATTGAATTTTTAAAAAAAAAATTTGTTTCTGAAACACCATGAGGTACAGTTGTAAACTTACAGATTTTTGTGCTTGGGTTTCAATTATACAATGATCGAGTACCCATCCCTCCACCAGTGCCCATTATCCACACCAATGATCCCCCCTCCCTTTGCCCTCCCACATCCCACTCCACCTCTGTGGCAGGGCATTCCCTTTTGCTCTCTCTTTCCTTTAGGGTGTTGTGGTTTGCAATAGAGGTATTCAGCGGCCATCGTGTTCAATCTGTAGTCTACTTTCAGCACGCATCTTGCATCCCTAGAAAATCCTCCCAACACCCTTTACTTGGTGTTCCATTCTCTATCTGAGTTGCCTTTTCCCCAAGCATGTGTGGCTGGCCTCCAAGCCATGGAGCGAACCTCCTGGTACTTATCTCAATTATTAGGTGTTAGTCTCCTATTCTGTTACTTTATATTCCACAGATTAATTCAATCTTTCTATGTCTGTCCCTCTCTTTCTGACTCATTTCACTTAGCATACTTTCCATGTAGAACCACTTGTATCCAAATTTCATGATTTCATCTTTTCTAAGCTCTGTATAGTATTCCATTGTGTAGATGTACCAAAGTTTCTTTAACCAATCATCTGTTCTCGGGCACTCAGGTTTTTTCCAGATTCTGGCTATTGTAAACAGTGCTGCAGTGAACAAACAAGTGCAGATGTCACTTCAACTATACTTTTTATTGCATCTCTGGGATATAATCTCAGGAGATGTATTGCTGGGTCAAATGGGAGCTCAATTTATAATTTTTTTAGAAGTGTTCATCCTGTTTTCCAGAAAGGCTGAACCAGTCTGCATTCCCACCAGCAGTGTAGGAGGGTCCGTTTCTCCCCACATCCACACCAACATCGGTTGCTTTTGTTCTTGGATGTGTGCCAGTCTCTGTGGTGTGAGGTGGTATCTCATAATTGTTTTGATCTGCATCTCCCTGATGATTAGCGATGAAAAGCATTTTTTATGTGCCTTTTTGCCATTTGGATTTCTTCCTTAAGAAAGTTTCTGTTCATTTCATCACCCCATTTTCTGATGGGGTTGAATGTTTTCTTCTTGCAGAGTTCAACCAGTGCCTTATATATCCTTGATATCAACCCTTTGCCTTCTGGGTGTTGGGTGAATATTGTTTCCCATTCTGCAGATTGTATTTTGATCACTGTATCTTTTGCGGAGTAGAAGCTTCTTAGTTTAAGATAGTCCCATTTATCTCTGTTTTCACTTGGTTGGTCAGTGGAGTGATGTCTTTGAAGATACTATTAGCCTCAATATTGTGGAGGGTTTTGCTGACCTTCTGTTCAGTGTACCTTATGTATTCTGGCATGATATTGAGATCTTCAACATTCAATCCATTTCTGTCTGACTTTTGTGAATGGTATTAGGTCAAGGTCTAAGCTCATTTTTTTGCATGTGGTTGTCCTGTAATGCCAGCACCATTTGTTAAAGAGTCTTTCATAGCTCCACTTCACATTTCTTGCTCCCTTATCAAAGATTAGATGTTCATACATTTGGGTTTGTGTGTAAGGACATTCCACCCTGTTTAATTGGTCTGCGGCTCTGTCTTTGTTCCAGTACCATGCTGTTTTAATTATTACCGCTTTGTAGTAGAATTTGAGGTTGGGGAGGGTAATGCCTCCCCACGTCTTTTTCCCAAGAATTGCCTTAGCTATTCACGGGTGTTTGTTGTTCCATATAAATTTCAGGAGTTCTTGATCCATTTCTTTGAAGAATTTTGTAGGTATCCTTATAGGGATCACATTGAATCTGTATAATGTTTTAGGGAGTATTGCCATTTTGACAATGCTATTTCTTCCTTTCCATGAGCAGGGGATCTGTTTCCATTTCCTCGTGTCCCCTTTTATTTCATGGAGTGGCATTTTGTAGTTTTCGTTGTGGAGTACCTCTTTAGTTAGGCTGACTCTGAGATACTTGATTTTCTGGGGCATGAATGTGAACGGGATTGTTTTTTTTTTATGTCACTTTCCTCTGTCTCATAATTTGCGTATAGGAAGGCAATGGATTGTTGGATATTAATTTTATAGTCTGTGACTTTACTGTACATGTCTATTGTTGCTTGGAGTTTCTTGGTAGAAGATTTAGAATTCTCTAGATATAGTATCATATCATCTGCGAATAGTTAGAGCTTGATTTTTTTCCTTTCCTATCTGGATGCCCTTAATATCTTTTTCTTGCCTAACCACTATTGTCAGTACTTCCAGTACTAAATTGAACAGAAGTGGTAAGAGTGGGCATCCTTGATCTGTGAGTGGGCATTCCCTGATCTTAGAGAGAAGGCCCTTAGATTTTCCCCATTAAGGATATAGCTTGCTGTAGGTTTGTTGTAAATGGCTTTGACTATCTTGAGGAAGGTTCCTTCTAAACCCTTTTGTTGAGAGTTTTCATCATAAATGGGTGTTGGATCTTGTCAAATACTTTCTCTGCATCTATTGATATGATCATATGGTTTTATCTTTACTTTTGTTGATCTGATGGACTATGTTGATTGATTTCCGAATGTTAAACCATTCCTGCATCCCCAGGATGAATCCCACTTGGTCGTGGTGTATGATCTTTTTGATGAGTTGTTGGATTCTATTTGCTCATATTTTGTGGGCAATCTTCACATTCGTGTTCATCAGGGATATCGGCCTGTAGTTTTCTTCTCTTGTGGTGTCTTTGTTTGCTTTTGGTATTAGGGAGATATGTACCTCATAGAAACTGGGAAATTTCCTGTTTTTTCAATTTCCCGTAAAAGCTTGAGGAGAACTGCCAACAGGTCATCTTTAAATGTTTGGAAGAATTCACTAGTGAATCCATCTGGGCTTTTGTTTGGAGGAATACTTTTGATTTACAGTTCAATTTCCTTGATATGAATGGGTTTATTCAGGCATTCCAAGTCTTCTTGGTTCAGTTTTGGGAGATTATAGGCATCCAGGAATTTATCCATTTCTTCTAGGTTCTCTTGTTTCTTGGCATACAGACTCTCAAAGTAGTCTCTGATGATATTTTGAATTTCATTGGTTTCTGTTATGATGTCCCCTTTTTCATTTTTTATTGGGTTTATTAGGGTTCTCTCTCTCTCTTTCTTTGTGTTTTACTGGTGGTTTATCAATCCTGTTTATTTTCTCAAAGAACCAGCCCTTTTGGATTGTTTTTTGGGTTTCCATGTCATTAATTTCTGCTCTAAGTTTTATTATTTCTTTCCTTTGGCTGGATTTTTGTTCCTTTTGTTGGCCTTATTCTAAGCTCTTGAGCTGTGAAGTCGAGTTATCCATGTAGGCTCTTTCTTCCTTCTTTTGGGGGAATGTGTCAAGCTATCAATTTTTCTCTAAACACAGCTTTAGCTGCATCCCATAGGTTCTGGTAGATTGTGTCTTATTTTTTATAAATTTATTTATTTTTTTATCATTTTTTTTATTAGTGAAACGCCATGAAGTACACTTATAGACTTATAAATTTTTGTGCTTGGGTTTTAGTTATACAATGATCAAGTACCCATCCCTCCACCAGTGCCCATCCTCCCCCACCATGGGTCCTAGCATCCCTTCCACCCCCCATCCCCCCCCTGTCCCACCCTGCCACTGTGGCAGGGCATTCCCCCTTGTTCTCTCTCTCTTCTTTTGGGTACTGTGTTTTGCCAGAGAGGCATTGAGTGGCAATCATGTTTGGTCTATAGACTACTTTTAGCATGTCTCTCCCACCCTGGGAAGGTCTTCACAACACCCTTTATTTGGTGCTCTCTTCTCTATCTGAGCTTCCTTCTCACCTAGCACATGTGGCTGGCCTTCAAGTCATGGAGCAAAATTCCTGGTACTAATCTGAGCCATTCCTGGGTGTTAGTCTCCTGTTTTGTTGCTTTATGTTCCCCAGATGAATGCAATCTTTCTGTGTCTATCCCGCTCTTTCTGACTCATTTCGCTTAACATGATACTTTCCATGTAGTACCACTTGTATGTAAATTTCATAACTTCATCTTTTCTAACAGCTACATAGTACTCCATTGTGTAAATGTACCAAAGTTTCTTTAACCAGTCATCTGTTCTCGGGCACTCAGGTTTTTTCCAGATTCTGGCTATTGTAAAGAGTGCTGCAATGAACAAACAATTGCAGATGTCACTTCGACTATACCTTTTTGCCTCTCTGGGATATATTACCAGGAGTGCTATAGCTGGGTCAAATGGGAGATCAAATTCTAATTTTTTGAGAATCGTCCATACTGTTTTCCAAAAGGGTTGGACCAGCCTGCATTCCCACCAGCAGTGAAGGAGGGTCCCTTTCTCGCCACATCCGCGCCAGCACCTGTTGCTTTTGTTCTTGTGGATGTGGGCCAGTCTCTGTGGTGTGAAATGATATCTCATTGTTGTTTTGATCTGCATCTCTCTGATGATTAGTGATGTAGAGCATTTTCTCATGTGCCTTTTTGCCATTCGGATTTCTTCTTTGCGAAAGTTTCTGTTCATTTCCTCGCCCCATTTTTTGATGGGGCTGGGTGATTTCTTCTTGTGTAGTTTAACCAGTACCTTGTATATCCTTGATATCAACCCCTTGTCGCATGTGTATTTGGTGAATATTCTTTCCCATTCTGTAGGCTGTCTTTGTATTTTGGTCACTGTTTCTTTTGAGGTGCAGAAGCTTCTTAGTTGAAGATAGTCCCATTTGTCTATCTCTGTTTTCACTTGCTCAGCCAGTGGCGTGACATCTTTGAAGATACCACTAACTTCAATATCGTGGAGAGTTTTGCCAACTTTGTCTTCAATAAACATTATGGATTCCGGTCTAATGTTGAGGTCATAAATCCATTTCGATCTTACTTTTGTGCATGGCGTTAGGCAGAGATCTGAGCCCACTTTTTTGCATGTAGCCGTTCAGTTTTGCCAGCACAATTTATTAAAGAGGCTTTCCCTGATCCATTTCACTTTTCTTGCCCCCTTATCGAAGATTAGATGATTATATGTTTGGGAGGAGATGTCAGTATATTCAACTCTGTTCTATTGGTCTGCAACTCTGCCTTTGTTCCAGTACCATGCTGTTTTGATTATTACTGCTTTGTAGTAGAGCTAGAAGTTAGGTAGGTTGATTCCTCCCATTTTCTTTTTCCCAAGAATTGCTTTAGCTATTCGTGGGGGCTTATTTTTCCATATAAATTTCAGGAGTGTTTGCTCCATTTCTTTGAAGAATGTCATGGGTATCCTAATAGGGATTGCATTGAATTTGTACAGTGCCTTGGGAAGTATTGCCATTTTGACAATGTTGATTCTTCCCATCCATGAACAGGGGATATTTTTCCATTTCCTCGTGTCCTCTTTTATTTCCCGAAGTAGCGTTTTGCAGTTTTCTTTGTACAGATCCTTTACTTCCTATTCTCATTTGTTTCCAGGTATCTTTTGATTTCGTCCTTGACTTCCTTCCTGACCCACTCATTGTTCAACATTGAGTTGTTTAATTTCCAGGTGTTTGATTTGGTTCTCCATGTCTCTGTGTGATTAGCTTTTATCTTCAGCACATTGTGGTCTAAAAAGTTTGTTGATACTATTTCTATCTTCCTTATTAATTTGAGGTATTTTTGTGACCTAGTACATAGTCTGTTTTGGAAAATGTTCCATGTGCACTGGAAAAGAATGTGTATTCTTTCTTTTGGAGGTGTAAAGCTCTGTATAGGTCTATTAGCTCTTTTATATAGGGCTTGTACAGCTTTTTGCATACACTGGTCTTTTAATGGAGTTAGTGTAGGCCAGTGGATTGTTGTATTGTATTTGAGGTGGCTGTAACGTTTTGCACAGAATTAGGTGATATAGGTTGGGATATTAGTTTAGAGTGCTGGGAATGGGGAAAATAATGGCCACACAGAAGGCCACGCCCGCTTTTAGAGGCCACGCCTCCTAGTTTGGAGACCACACCCCCAGCCTGTCCAGATGCTTGTACCCGGGTCCAAGGGCTTGTGCAGAAGAAAGGTGGGAGCTAGGTGGGCAGGCACATGTGGTTGAACTCTGGGGTGCCCTCAGAGATCTGCCCAGGTGGCAGGAGATTGGGGCTGCTGGGTGGGGCGGGACAGGCAGTACACAGATAGTCCCACCTGTGCACCTCTCTGGAATTTTCTACATCCCAGCCTTTGGCATGTAATATTTTGTTTAATGAAGTCTCACCCATGGAAAAAGCCACTTTTCCACTTTCTATAATCTAGACTGTATTGTTTTTTCTCTCATTCTTTACTCTTTTTTTAATCTTCTCTTTTGGACGCACAACTCGTGGTACTCAAGGCTTGCTTCTTGCTCCGTGCTCAGGAATCACTTCTGGTGCTGCCCAGGGTACCAAATGAACTGTTGGAAACTGAACACAAGTCTGATGCATATGATTCAAGTATCATTTCTTCAGTCTCACTCCTTTTAATAAAATGTCTTTCCTTAAAAGTAGGACTGAAGGGATGGTTCACTTGGTAAGGTATTTGCCATATATACCACATACACACCTGAGTGACCCCTGACTGTAGAGCCAGGAGAAGGCCAGGAGCATAGCTTGGTGTCCTTCAAAAACAAACAAGCAAAAAAGAAAACAAGTAGGAGTGTGTTGGAAAAGATACTAACCAAACTTTTTAATGTCTGGCATGTTCTTCCAGAAATCTGTGTGTTTGGTAGTGAATTACCTGCGAACTCAAAAAGCTGTGGTGCGTGTGAGCCCTGAAGTCCCACTCCAGAACATTCTCCCAGCTATCTGTGCGAAGTGTGACGTCAGCCCGGAAAACGTGGTCCTCCTCAGAGACAACATCGACGGGGAGGAGCTGGAGCTCTCCAAGTCCTTGAATGAGCTTGGCATCAAGGAGCTCTATGCCTGGGACAACCAGCGAGGTAAAAGGTGCCCAGAAGGCTCTGCAGACTACCCCAACTCAGGTTTAGTGGCTGGAGCCACCCACCTAGATTTTAAAATCATTGAATTTTTGTCCAAACCGGAATTGAAATGGGTAGAAAAAAAATTGTTTTTGTTTCCCTAGTCTGTAATGACTTCCCTTTATCCCCAGTGTCAGTTCTGAACATGCCCTTCTACTCTGACCTCTGTTAAGATAAATCAAAGATGGGGAAAAGAGAAGACAGTTGGCCTGAGGGCTAAGAGGACCTCAGAGAGACCTCAGAGAAGCCCTAGACTCAGCTTCTCCCTGTCAGTTGTCTATAACTGCTTCCAAGTCCCAGACAAGCTAAACCAGTGACAGAATGTTTGGGCTGTTTTCTAAAACTTACAAAATTATAGTGCATCCATTCTAAAGAATATAAATATTTGTATATTGTGGATGTAAGAGTCTTATAACTCATCATGTGACTCCAGTGTTACCACAAGATAACAGAACACCTTGTGATGCCAGTGTTGGTGCCTCTGACTGACATGCTGTTCTGTGGAGTCTGCTGATTATTTCCTAGGGCTCTCTATTGAAACAGTTGTCATCTCCCAAAATGTTAATGCTTTTTGCCCCTATAATTATTCAGATGTACTTAAGAAAACTTTCTGTTGTAGTGAACCTCACTTAATTTGTTTCTTTTTTTATTTAGTTCACAAATAGGTTTGATTTTCTGAATATTTACATGTTCTACATTCCTTGCTATATGAGTCATGGGTTCAATATCTGGAACCATAAAAATATGTACAAATAAGAATATGTATGCATATTTAATCTATTCATAGTTTCAAACATTTATTTTCTTACTAAGAAATTTATTGTGAGCTGATTTTTCCCTTCCCTAACCCAGACAATGGAGATTCTAGTCCTCAGTATTTCTTTTACATTCAAGAAAGGATTTTAGTTCAACCAAGTATAATATAGATTATTCATTTCTCAAAAAAAAATCTTTTAGTGGCTGTCAAAAAAACCCAGTTTAGCAAGTAAGGCTCTTGCCTGGCATGTGGTCAGCCCTGGTTTAATAGCCACATATGGTCCTCTGAATACCACAAGGAGTGATCCTTGAGTGAAGGGCCAGGAATAAGCCTGGAGCACCATTGGATGTAGCCCCAAAACAAACCAGAGAAAGAGAGGCAGAGAGAGAGACAGGGACAGAGAGACAGAGAGAGACAGGGACAGAGACAGAGAAACTCTGACCTTGAGAGCAATGCATCTTGCGCATTTATTATACTCTTAGATAGACCAAACCTTTCTCAGCATCTAGTCCATACGTCTGAATGGATTGAGTATGCGTGTACAATTCTATTATGTTTGTTTAGATTTAGTTACTGTGACTCTTGAAAATCAGGTTTTCTATGAGCAAGACAAAAAAGAGAAGATTTCCCCCATTTAAGTATATGGAGGGAAATTGTTTCTATAAACATGTATTTTGTTAATATGCCAACCACCATATAGGTAGTTAAAAATTAGATAATAGAACCTGTTTCTTGGGAAAAATCTTATCGATAGCCCTCCCCAAATCAGGAATGGGCTTAGACACCCTTGGCCAGTCATTTCGAACATGGACTTTGATTTCAGGGAAACCTCCCTGCATCTGAAGCATACTTTTTTGATCCTCAATGCAGAGCAGGTCACATGGGTAGATCCACTCTGCACCTTTAGGTGTGTCCTATACTTCCGCTTTCAAGGGTAGTATGTGCCCGAGTCCTCATGTCATCTTCTTCTCTGCCTCTCTTTTCTTCCTCTAGTAATCTCTTCCTTGGTGCTCCTCTGAGAGATAGAGAACATATTTCCCCAGAGATAGAGGAGTACCAACCCTTGTGTTCATTGTTTCTACCCTCTGGGCCACATATACTGTCACTCTCCAAATATCCCATACTATGGTACTATATATTTGCGACTAAAAGAGTCTGTTGAGTATATCTGTCCAATGTTTCTTCTTTGCCCCATTTGGTTTACTTCCCCTCCCAAGCCAGCAGCTACCGGGAAAACAGGTGGGAGCTGCTAGAGGAGATGTTCCCAGGCAGAGACAGCCCCCCACCCCTCATTCCCCAATCCACCCCCACTATCATCCTAGCAGAATTCCCGACAACAGCAGCTTGAAAGGGCTTGAGGCATTGCTGCCACCTGCTCCCATGGTGATGCCTCAGTCTGATGGTTGCAAGGCTTGGAGTAGCCTAGGCCAATAGTGCAGGCCTGCATTTGACTGCTCTGCCAGGCATGGCCAGACTTGGGAAAGGCCCATGGAGGGATGAGGCTTGCCTGCATATTTGAAAGTTCCTCCTCATTTTATCATCACCTGCGTTTTCCAGTTCTCCTGACCAAAACAAAGTCGGAGCCATCTTTGAGCCATCGAGGTACCCTGAGCAAGTATTCTTCCTGCTGTGTGTCTTTGTGCATGGCTCTGGGCTGGGGTGATTGCCAGATGTTTTGCAAAGGGACTGAGGGAAGGGAAGCTTGGTATTCACCACCTTTGGGGGCATTGTGTGGGATTAAAATAAGCTTACAGTTTGATTTCTTGACACTTTGGCTAAAAGAAGCATCCCATGTGTAAGAATTTTCTTGTATGGTTCTAACTGGTAAGGAATGAAGGTTTATGAACCAGAATTTCATAGCAGGACAGAAGTGCTCCACACACAAGACAGTTTTCTTTCCTTCTGCTTACCTGTGTTGGATTTCCTTGGCTTGCCTCTAGAATCCTGCCTGCCTGCTACAGAATTTAGAGATGATAAAATTTTGCTTTGTCTGTCATTGAAAAATATGTAAATTATTAATTCAGATTTTATATTTCTTCTGATACCTATTTGTTATAAGTGTATGTGTATAAACAAGCTCTAAATCTTTTCTAAAATATCCCACTGAGTATTTGTATTTCATACAATTTTTGTTCCCATTTTAAACATTATTTAGCATTAGATTTTATTTCTGAAATAGGGTTTGGTGGAAGAGCTCTCAGCATCTGTTCGGACTCTGGCTAGGGTGTTTGCTCTGGGCCTCCCTTCCAGATGAAAATCAGCATTTTTCTCTAATCCTTCAGCATCTCCGAGAGCATGCCAGCTATTCCCCAAAGAAAAACTCCTCCATTCTGGCTCTATCAGTCCTGGGAGATTTGATTTTTGATGTGAACAGGCTTAAGTCAGAGGAGATGGAGAGTCACTCAGCCGTTTATCCCAGCCCGTACTTCTTGTGGTTTCGAAATGGGAACACCCACCTAGAAACTCATGCCATAGGAGCAGCCATGGCCAATACTCAGAAGTGCCAGTTTGATCTTCCTCTCATGTCTCTTCCTTGGAGATCTTGTTTGGCTCCCTGAACAGGACTCATGCTCTTTTCTTTTCTAGAAAAGTGAATATTTAGAATCAACCAAACTTCAAGGGTTCCCTTATGTCATTTTGTCCCATGGCACCCCCAATTCTTTTCTCATTTTCCAAACTGTTTTTGATGGTTTAAAAATGCCACGTGCTTTTTCATGGGTTTGACGTAACTTCATGTAAACTTTTATACATCTAAGCTTTCATTTATTTGAGTAAGTAGAAACAAATATCTGGGATCAAATGTGAGATCCATCTGGACCATGGGTCCCAGGGTTTCTGTGCCTTTTCCAGGGCCACTTGTGCGAGATGGTTTGTCACCTGTCCAGCTAAGTCAAGATGAGGAAGGTTGTAACGGACATAGGCATGTAAAGAAACTGAGCGCGCAAGCCCCTTCTTCAACACTCTGCCAAGTCCCAGCGTCCTTCCAAGGACAGTGCCCAGGGACAGCAGAGCCTCTCCCCTGCAGACCAGCGTCTGCTTCAGGAGCAGCTCAGCACGAGCACCCTGCTAGTGAGTTGAGGCCACACAGGAGCTGCACCTACAAACCTGGGTAGGCAGCTTCAGTCCTGTGGACCTAGTGGCCACCAGAGTTGCTGTCCGACTGGGGAGGAAACTGGGATTCTGAGGGTTCCCTGGCCCAAGCGATTGTTCCTGTGCCTGGCATGACAGCTTGAGTACTAGCAACATGTTCTCTCACCTGTTAGTTGTTCGTGTGTGGTGCTAGGACCACATTATGTATGCCACACATTTATGCCACACCAGTCCAGAAAACATACTGGTAAGAAATGTGTATTTCTGTGTTGTTGCTTACCTATCTTTACTCTCTTATAGAATTTGTCTTACCCATGACAACTGTGCTTGTTAATGTGCAATCATGGGCCTGCATGTCACAACAGAGCTGCGCAGTAGCTCAGGTGTGCTGTCTAGTTTGCTGACCAGCTTGAATGGAGCTGCCTTTGAGTGAGAGCCTTGGTCCTCTTGACTAAAATTTGACTTTTGCCACTTACGGAATGAGTTTTTCTTTGTTGGATAGGATTGGTGTTGATATAAATGTTACTAATACACTTACTTTCATGTTTGTGTCTAGACTTTGAAATTTTGACTTGTAGATAAGGTAATTGATATTTTCCTCATTAGGGGCTTATGTTTTGATGGCAGAGTATGGAATTATGTGGTCCAGATGTTTCCACTGGTGCCTGTCTCTTCAGCAGGTGACAGTAAAGTGGAGAAATTAATTTTTGGTCCTTAACTGTCCTTCCTTTTACCATATTTGTGTCATTCAAAGAGAAGAATCAAGTGGGCTAATGATAGAGGTCCGGAGTGATGTTTGAAGTGCCAGTAAATCCCTGAACCAGAGCAGCTAGTTGGTACTTATGGCAGCATGGTAGGTGCCAGACCCAATCATCTCATTCACCCTAAGTGCCAGTGAGGAAACTGAGACTGGCAGCAGCGAGAGAGGTGGCTCAAATATGCCCGTGCTCCATGCTCTTCAGCCCTGCTTTTCTGTCTTTAGACTTAAATACGCCCAGAAGAGTGTGGGTCCACCATGCTCTCCGGGTAGGGCTCTGCAGTGTGCTCAGGCTCCCATTTCTCATTGTTCCAAGTTGCTGATGCTGTTACCCTATTTCTGTGGGAACCAGGTCTTATCAGCTCTGTCATCTGCATCCTAACAACTGAACTGTTGCCTTCCATCTGAAACACACGAATTCCCATTCTAGCTCTGACATCCTGATGAAGAAAATGCCAAAGATTTAGAATTCAAAATTTTTTTCAGGAGGCCGGAGTGATAGCACAGCGGGTAGGGCGTTTGCCTTGCATGCGACCGACCTGGGTTCGATCCCCGGCATCCCATATGGTCCCCCAAGCACCGCCAGGAGTAATTCCTGAGTGCAGAGCCAGGAGTGACCCCTGAGCTTTGCTGGGTGTGACCCAAAAAGCAAAAAAATAAATAAAGAAATTTTTTTTCAGACAGAACAGAGTGCAGTAAGATAGGAAGTGTGCTGACTGAGACCAGGAAGGAGAATAAGGAAATAGGGAACTAGGAAGGAAGGCCTGTAGCAGTTATTTTTATGAGCCATCAGGTCAGTTGTGGCCACATTTTTGAAATAAGTAGAGTCTCAAGATGTTGATATATTTCACTTAGAATACATGTTTTTCCTCACTCATCATTCTTTAAGAAATAATTTGTTGAGATAGCAGTATAAAGAGTGTGAATATTTATGTTTTAGGGTATAATGTTACCAGCCCATACCAGTTACACTCAGCTTTCTTAAAGCAGGTGTTTTGCTCAATGTCTTAGTCCTTGGAGCTGTGAAATCTGCTTCTAATCAAAGTCCACACCAGCCGGGAGCATTGGGAATGCCATTGAAATGGTTTGTGGGTTGGGAACATGCTTGGTACCATAACAAAAGATAAAAGAGAAAACTATCCCAGTCTTAATTTTATTTTGATAGTGCTACAGAATAATAATAGGTGACATTAAAATTAAATTTACCTGGCTCTTTTTTATGCAGCAAAATGATATGTACTACTCATTTTATTTTCTTCTTGAATAGCACTGCCATAGAATTTTAATGTATTTGCTTTTTTATGCTTATGTATGGTATAGTCGTACCCCTCAAAAATATGACCATAATTAATAGCATTAGTAATTTCAGTTGGATGAAAGGAGGTTCAGAATGCTTTGAAGGATAATGGTTAATAGCTGTACTTCCTTAAAAGAACTAAAGACTAAAGGATTCATTCATTGAGTAATTTAACAAAATATTTCATCACTTCCTTTATTATGCATAAAAATAACATACTTTTTTTTCCAGAAACTTTTAGAAAATCATCACTTGGCAATGATGAGACAGAGAAAGAGAAGAAAAAATTTCTGGGATTTTTCAAAGTTAATAAAAGAAGCAGTAGTAAGGTAATGGGTTAAACATGATTATAATTTTGCATCACATAGAAAAATATATCCTACTCCTTTTGTTTGGGGGCCACACCTGGAAGAATTTATGGGCTACTTCTTGCTGAGGGCTCATTCCCAGCAGTACTTGGAAAACTGCGTGGTGAGGGGCATCAAACCTTGAACCGCGTATGCCAAGCATGCTCTTAGCTTAGTGGGGTTCCATTCCCAAAATAGGTTTCTTGAGTTATTTGTATGCAGCTTATCTTCAACTTTGATGTATATTTAGAAAGGTTAATTCCTTAAGAAGAGGCACCTTGTCAGTATGTACTTAAGTTATTGATTCTTGCTGTCACATTTTATTCCTAAAGTGACACTGTTTTATTTGGTAGTAGGATATAGATTGTCACATCTGTGGTCAGATAAGTTCCCTACTGTTGGTGCCTGCATGGCACCTAGTCTGAGGCTCAGTAAAACACCCTCTCACTGCATGAGTGAGTCAACACATTGCCCAGGTATATTGATTTAAAAACAGTCATACCTAAGAAGTGTTTGTGCTGGTAAGCAGGTATGCCTACTAGAAAAGTTTGGATGTTCTCAGTCTTCCTAATATTATCTGGGGATATGCTGCTTGATAAGTTAAAGTTTTTATTTGACTAGTTTATAAGCATTATAGTCATACTTTTAGTTCCATGTTGTGTAATAGTTTAGTCATAGTAGAGAGCATACCAAACGAAAGATATACATGCTTTGTAGTAAGATGGAAATGTGCTGGATGTGGTTGTGGGCTTTCCAGACATTCTGTTGCTAAACATTTATTGAGTATGAGTTTAAGAGATTTGGGGTCAGGAGTCTGGATGCTACGGTAACAGACTCTATGATCCATTGTACTCTGAATTTGACTGAATGATTTTCCAGCCAAATTGTGCTTAATGTTTTAATATTCTTTCTCCCTGAATTTAAGGTTGGAAAACTTCAAATATTCATGGATTGATTTTTCAAAGCTGTTTTTATCACGTTGATCCCTATGCTTCTTAATATTGCATTTTGCAAAGCTAAAGAAATGCTTTGGGGAAAATGAAGGATGAAACCTTGTTTTCATAAATTGTGGATTTAAAAATTGGACTTTTAAAATCATTGAATACTTTGGGTCTGTTTTTAAAACAGTGAACATTTTTGGCCTGCTTTGATAATGCTAAGTTAGGATGATGGCCATTATTTCTTGAAGATTCTACTTCCTTAAAGTGCATCCAGGTTGGAGGGGTTTTCCCTTTCCTCGACAGTTGCTAAGGGTAACTGGTTTGTTTGAGTTGGTTTTTACCAGGGGATAATGTAGTGTGCTTGTGTTCCAGGCAGAGCCTCTGGGACTCTCAGGAGCCATTAGCGATGAGGATCCCTCCAGGTCCATCAGCGGAGGCCTGAATGTGAGTATTGACCCAGGGCATCTGCTCCAGGGCTGGAACTCAGCTCTGCACAGCCTCTGTGCAGAGAAAAAGAAAACTCTAGGTTATCTCCCATGTCTTGTTGCTTTGCTTTCTGGTCCAGATACACAGAACTGAAACAAAAATTAATACTTTAAATTTTGGAAAATGTGTTGTTTTTTAGTTTCCAATTCCCACTGCCCCATTGAACCTGGTCAGAGAACTCTTGATGAGATAACTGAATTGTTGCTGTAGAGTTTCTCGCTAATATTCTCAGGAGCACAGGATGCTTCTCATTTCTGCATCTGCCACTTCCTTAACTCTGTAAATGCACCTGAAAATAATTTTTAAAAACTACCTCCCTCACATACTTATGAGTTGCATGTAAAAAATTTCTTCGTAGTTTTAGACACTTGAAAGACTATGTGATAGCTTCTTGTAAATATTGACATTTAAAATAATTCTAATCTAACCTAACAACTTCCCATCACTTTTCCTAATTGTTTAGGTAAATTTCCTATAACAATAGGAAGCTTTGCATTTTTTCTTGTATCATATTTCTATGCTAATTTCCACATAAAATGCTATTCTCAATATATATTTTATGCTTTAAAGTCTTTTATAAAGACTTAAGTATAAGTGTGATATGAACCAAACTGTTTATTTAAGTTAGATTTCTGAGTTTCATATAATCATTAAGCTAAAAAAAAAAACATTCCTTTTATAACTAAAAAATTAAAAATTTTATTACCACTGATAATAAAAATTAAATTTTTCTTTCTAAGATATTTTTAACAAAGTAAAAGGTATTTTTTATCCTGTACATTTGTTAATGAGCATAATTTATTAATAAAACATTATTTCATTTTTTAATTGCTATTTATACCAACTTATAATCCAAGGAGATATTTTCTATTAAAAAATGAAGATGGAAGATAGGAAATGTCTGCTTTCAATTCTTTAAATTTCTTCTGGTTAGTCACATGAATTATTAAAAATTATTTTTAATGATCCTTATCTATACCTAATTAGGTCCTCTTTGAAATCAGTAGATAAAATTTCAAAGCTATTTGACATAGAGAAAGTCACATTGGACTTACTGAATTCTTGGAAGAAATAGCAAAAACTTCCTCATCAAGATTTATCAAATATTAATTATACTCATTACTCATAGGAACCTTTATATGATATGTGAAGATATCTTTCCTAAAACAACAAATGTAACAAAATCATAGAGAACTCAAATAAGGTAGTATATAATAAAATTCGTTAAATTATAGGATATAAGCATATAAAGAGTTATAATTTTCTGTTATATAGCTCCTAAAATTTTATAAATTGTTTCTAGATAATTACAGTTGTTTCAAATGATGAAGTTGATAGCATATTTTTGTTTTATTATTTGTGAAGTTTTTGCGAGTCTCAATTTACAGCTTAACAGCTGCTCATTCCACAAATTATATGACTTAAAGATTTCACAAAAAACATAACATTGGATTATTTTCAGGTGTACAGTATGTAATATTATAATGTACATATGTATTATAAAATGAGTGCCACAATAAGTGTAGTTAACATCCTTCCAGAAAAGAATTCAATAATTGTATGTGGTGATGGGTGTCACAGGCATTTTCTAAACCTAGTACTAGGTAAAATACCTAGCATACCAGGTATTGTAACTCTCTCAACAGCAGTGAATGATAATGTAACTTTTTAGACATCCATGCTAATTTGTGTGAACTTTTTTTCACTAGTGCACTCTAGATTACTAGGAGATCGCTAAAGGATGGGATTCTGTCCAGGATGTTTTGCTTTCTCCTTTCCTCGGCTAGTAATCCATTTAAACAATAATAGTAAATTTACTTCCTATAATATTTCTTTATAATATTTCTAGCAATGTCATTTTGTAGTAAAACAGTAAGAGATATATTAATCTTAAAAGTTGCCTCTTCCTGGGGACATCTCAATATATATTCCAGGCCACAGTTCTCAGGCCAGATTAGTCTTTCTTAACCCCAGCAGGGTCCTTATTTAGTTACTTCTTTTTGGGTCATGACAGAGTTTGTTCCATTACCATGCTATTATACTTATGCCTCTTAGCTTGTCTCCTTTCAATGCCAGGGTAGCTTACAGCTTGCCCTGGGTCCATCCAGTCCCTTTGTTGGGACCCTGATTTTGGAGTGCTAGGAACTAAGGGTGACTGAGGCTTAAGTCAAGTAAATGTGGATGCCCAGGAGTAAATATTATTTTGGAGTCAATTAACTCCCATGTTACAAAGCATAGCATGAACTGTCTTCCTATGTCTATACTAAAAAGACATTGCTAATCCATGTAAAGGACATAAAGGAAAGAACAAAGCAATATAGGATTATTAGTGCTTGATGGAATTGGGTGTGTCTCAGAGGCACTGTTGTGGGAGTGGCTCAATAAACCTAAGCTCCCTGTGTGTGTGTGGGCGGGGGGGGAGGGGAGAAACAAGGACAATCCAGTGTTATCCAAGAGTGGAATATTATTCAGCCATAAGAAAAGAGAAAGTCATGCAGTTTGCTTGCTACATGGAGGGACCTGGAGAGTATCACGCTGAGTGAAGTTCGTCAGAGGGAAAGAGACTGGAGACCAATACAGAAGGTTCTGTCTCATATAAGGAAACATAGAGTATAAGGAAACGTAATAAGAGAATAGTGAATGTCCAAAGACAGTGGAAACAAAGGACATGGGAACATACCAGCCATGGGGGCTGGTGTCAGTACAGGGGGGGGCATTGACGATAGTGGGGGTAGAGTGAAGCAGGAGCAGGAAATGATGCTAAGGGCAGACAGCATTAGTGTGAATCTCTACTGGCAAAAATATAACAAACCACAGTGCAAGCACATATAGTTATAAAAGTGCCCCTTGTAGGGGCAGACTGGGGGGGGAGAGGCAAAGGAGGGCATGGGGGGAAATTGGTGAGGGGAAGTAGGCACTGATGAAGGGATTAATTTGCGGATCAATGTGTGCCTGAAACCCAATCATGAATAATTTTGTAATTTCATGGTGACTAGTATAAAAAAGAAAAAAAAGTATAGTTTTCATATGAGGAAAAAGGCAAATTAGTTATGCAAATGTAAAAACCATTGAAACCATGCAAGATCCAAGAAAATAAGAATAAATCTATTTATAAATAGAGCATTTATAAATGGACTTAAAATCAGAAGTTAAACCCATAAATTTTACTTCAAGGGATTAAGAAGCTTTCTTTGATGAGAGAAAGAGAAAAAGAGAAGAGAAAAGACAAAGGATATTATAAAGAAAGAGAGAAATCTGAGAGAGAGTCTTTCAGAAGCAGAAATTTAAAAGTCAATCTGATCTAAATAGATATGACTAAAAAACTCAGACACACAAAAACACACAGAGTGTAAAAATAAATGAGGAGCTGTTCAAATATAAGTAGAACGAGATTTATGAAAAATGTGAATTAGAGTTACAATGAACTTACCATAATCATCCATTATGTGGACGAATTTCCAAACCCTTGTCAGTATTCTCTGCTGAGGGTCAGGGAGGTGAACCAGCAGTGAGGGATGGAGGCAGGTGCCAGAGTGAGTTCAGACTCCAGTGCTGCATGATCTCAACTCTGCTGAGCACTGTCAGGGCCAGCTCTGGTTGGTCTCCAGCACCACACAGTCCTCGGAGTGCCACATCCTCAAGACCGAGTGTTGAGCTGCCCAGTCTGGGGGGCCTGGACCTGCCGGGGTGTCTGTGCTTGGTTCCCCTAAACACTGCTTGGAAGCCCCTCCCCCCATACATATGCATATATTAGCCAAATGATCTGTTTTCATTCTTTGACTCAGATATTATGTGTTTAGAAATTTATTCGTAAGATTCTGTACCAGAAAATCGAGATGATTCCTATTCAAATTTGTTTATTGCTACATCGGTTATAACAGCAAGAGGTGAACACAGCTCAAATGGTCATCATCAGTCAACTGGGCGTAAGAACTTACTGGAATACCAGGAAGCTGTGGAGAAGGAGCTGTATGAATTCACATGCAGAGTGTTTTTCAGCATACATATTGAAATTATTTTTTAATTGATGATGATGTGTGCTAAAAATTGAAGTCAATCAACAGAGCCACAATATGGTGCACTAAGAGGTGTCCTAAAAGTAAAATTGGCTGGGTTGGAGATCAGGGGGCTGGATAGCACTTAATAAGCTGGTGGTGCTGCTGCTTCTCAGTGCTGGCCTGTGTCAGGTTTTCTGACTTGTTACTGTAAATTTTAAGTCTTTTGTGATTTTTAAAATCCTTCTTCCAATTTTTTGGTGGGGGATTTTTGAGTCATACCTTGCTATGATCAGGTGTTACTTCTGACTGCTCTCAGGAACTACTCCTAGTGATGCTCAGGGGACCATATGGGTTGCCAGGGATTGAACTGTATATGCTATTGCTTTGGCCCCTCACTGTTCCATTAACTTAAAAAAAGGTGATCTGGGCCCATTTTCCATTTGCCCTGTTGATGCAATTACAAAGATAGTGAGTCCTCACTGAATAATGTCAGTAGCTTCCTAGACAATTTTAAACAGAATAAGCAGACTTGTTGACATAAGAGTTACATTGCTGTGACATATTAGCACAGCGGGTAGGGCGTTCGCCTTACAAGCGGCCAACATGGCCGACCCGAGTTCGATTCCTCCGCCCCTCTCGGAGAGCCCGGCAAGCTACCGAGAGTATTCGATATGCCAGACACAGTAACAACAAAGTCTCCAATGGAGACGTTACTGGGCCCGCTCGAGCAAATCGACGATCAACGGGAGGGCCTTTACCTTTACCTATTACTGGTCACAGTAATGCCACCAAACACTTCCAGTATTAGAGTATCATTTGTGTTCATTCATTGATTTCACACCCTTCCCATTGCTATCCAGAGTCTGAGACAGGTCCTCAGGAAGGCACCTGCCTGTCACAGACACATCCCAGGCTCACTGCCCTGGGCCATGCTCACTGCCACTCAGCTGGTCTGCAGTC